TGGCTGGAGACGGCTTGAATGGGTAATGAAGAAAAACTTTAATACCACAGCAAATGTACAACGTTTCGACAAGGTTTTGTACCTGATGATGACAAAACCTTGTCGAAACGTTGTACATTTGCTGTGGTATTAAAGTTTTTCTTCATTACCCATTCAAGCCGTCTCCAGCCAAATATATTTGTTACTCTTAATTTTGGTTTTATTTACTCTTGAAATAGAACACTTTCGGAGACCCTACAGAAGTACATCTAGTTTTACCTCATAAGATTCAAGAGAAAGAAAAGCATAAAAACTGGTTAATGAAAGTGATGATTCATACTATTGTAAGCTATACTTAATTTTAATTTAGATGTTTATTTGCTCCTTTCGTAAATTTATTGTTGTTACTGTATCATTCGATAAAAATATATTTATATTGTTCTTTCCAGATTCCGTTGAAGATAGAATAAATGCATTCCAAAACGTTCCAGGCTTTTGTAAACCGTCCTCATTTGTATTAATGAAAAAATGATTACGATATGGATTTCAAGAATCAGTAAAGCAATAAGTTACTGACTTAGTGAGTCAGTTCAATGTTAGGAGTGGGAGTTATTGCGTCTATTCAGTTATTTGGTCGGTTTGTTATCAATTAATGAGGAATTCTGCAAGTAGGTTTATTTGTGATTAAGTTGGGCGTATATACTGTTGCGTCAGCGAGTCACATGACTACTGTGACGCAACGTTTCTAGAACTATCCTGTACTTTGGCGAATTCTCTAGTGTTTGCTAGATATAGGGTAGTTGGGTATATAAAAGAGGGGAAGGTAATGTGTAGATAGATAGTGAGTAATTGAACTGCAGTCAGAGAGCACGAGAGACGTTACAGCGTTTGTTTAGCGCGATTGTTGAAGTTGAGTGTATCGGTAAAGTTATATTTGGAAAGAATAAACTAGTTTTATTAAGAAAGGAGTTGTGTCGCTTAAGTTTCGTCGGAACGAAGTTACGGAAAGTTAATTAACAAACGGAGACGTAACAATACCATTAATCTCAGAAATTTTATTCAAACGTTATTTGTGGAGTCAGATCTACAAAATACAAGAGAACGTATCCTATACGTTATTGGAGAAATAAATTAATTCATTGTCGTTACGTGGGTTGGCCAGTAATAGTTGGGCGTATATACCAATAATCTCAGATATTCGTTTCAAAGTTTATTTGCGGAGTTAGACCTACAAAATACAAGAAAACGTATCCTATACGTTATTGGAGAAATAAATTAATTCATTGTCGTTACGTGGATTGGCCAGTGATAGAACAATTACAACATTGATGTCAGACTTGGGATTATTTTTATGAAAGTAAAATAGAACTTTGAGTAAACTTTAAGACGACAACAAGAGGGGCACATAGGAAAATTGAAACTTTGCCAGAGATTATGCAACATTTAAAAGAAGGTCAATAAGAAAGGGACAGAAAATTAGATGAACAAGATTGGAAACGAAAAGAAGGCCAAGAATATTCATTAGAACATTAAAAAAAGATCAAGGGGTAAGTTACGGAAATTTAAGGAGTAATTTAAAGAAAGAGGTGTAATCTGTAAAGAAGAATTAAGAAAAAAATAAATCTGATTGTTTTGTTTGTTTATTGTTAAGCACAAAGCTACACGATGAGCTATTCATGCTCTGCCCACCATGAGTAGCATAACCCGGTTTTTACCGTTATAAGCCTATAGACTCACGTACAGTAAGATTATAATAACAAAAATTAAAACTTACAGAAAGACTTTAATGACAAAATTGAAGAAGTACAGAAAGGCTGGAATAGTATAATCTAAGAAGTTCAAAAATAAATATTTGAGATAGAAAAGAACATCAGTGATAGAATAGAACATCTGGAAAACGAATTGGTAAATGCAAAGATGAAACCAGCCACACCTCCTTAGGCATGTGCCTTAGACGTCCATCCTAAAACACCATCTAACACAAGATATGAAATAGGAGGACCCATTTAGTTTACCTCGAGAAAATAACGGACGATGGTGGAAAGGTATCATGCTCAGTTCAAAATTATTTTCTGGATGAATGGGTGAAATCGTAAACAAAAGCTTTTCATCTTTCTATTCATTTAATAGATACAGCTTTAACAACATTAAACAACCTTCCAGCTGAAAGTCATAACAATTTATCAAGCATTGTAGTTGCTTTGTCCAACAGGTTTTGAGTGACACCCCAGATGGAAATATCTAGAGCAAAGTTCCAGAACAGGATACGGAGGAAAGACTTTAGTCAAATTTGCGGGAGGTTCGAAAACTCTTGACCAATTATTTTGCCCCAATGCTTTATGTGGAATGATGTATTTGGAATGTGACCAATTTATGGATGTCAAGGCAGACGAGAATATAAAAATTAGGTAGAAGCAAAGTAGATGTACATCTTTACAGCTGATCAATGCCATATATTACAAGACTTTCTTACAGATTTTAAAATACCTTCTCCAAAGGATTTCATAGCTTAGGTCAAACGAATATCTTATATCACTGATACCAGAAATGTAGTTCTAAAACATTAGATGGCCAGACGAATCACACTTGCAAAACAGGTGGAGGGTTCTAAAGAGCTAGAAGCCATGAATGAACAAGGAGTAATAAAGTCTAGTACTAATCGAAAGGCATCACCTATTGTACTTGTGAAGAAGGGTGGATTCATAAGGTTCTGCATGGACTATCAGAAAGAGAATGAAGCCGCAAAGAAGGATGCCTACCCACTTCTAAGACTGACTCTACTTCTAATGAATTATCTGAATCAAAAGGTTTTTTCAGCATTGGATCTGAAGAACGTATATTGGCAAGTACGAGGAAGCCTTACTGTGGGAAATGGATTGTAGCAGTTTGTTGTGTTACCATTTGGATTATGTGATAATGCACCTGCTACTTTTTATACAGCTAATGGAATGTGCTCTTTCTGAACACGCCTGTAACATCATACTCATCTACTGGAATGGCATAATCACATATTGGAAGGCATTTGATAATGTTTATGGTGGGCGACATAAAATGCTGGAGTGGTTGTGGAAAGAGAATCTTAAGCTGAATCCAGAGAAGTCTGGATTGTTCTATTAACAGGTGAGTTTCTTAGAACACATAGTCAGCAGAGAGGGAGATTCTACAGACCCATCTTAGATTTAATCTGTCTACAAATGGCCAACATAAAAAAAAATGTATGAGGTAAGAGGATTTCTTGGACTGTATGTATAATCGTCATCTTATAAAACATTTTCTGAATTAGCTCGATCTCTATACAAATTATTTGAAAGAACAAATATGTTTTGATGGATTGTGAACAAGCTGATGAAAGAATTAACCACTACTCCTGTATTGACATAACCAGCTCTTGAAGATCCGCTCATATTATATACAGATGCCTGTAATTTTGCAGTGGGA